TTTCTTTCTTTCTTTCTTTCTTTCTTTCTTTCTTTCTTTCTTTCTTTCTTTCTTTCTTTCTTTCTTTTTCTTTCATCTCTGCCCCTAATGTGGGACTGGAACTCATGACCCTGAGATCAGGAGTCCCGTGCTCTGCCAATGGAGCCACCCAGGTGCCCCACCCAGGCCACCTGGGTGGCTCAGTCAGTTAGGTGTCCAACTCTTGATCTCAACTCAGGTCTTGGTCTCAGGGTCATGAGTTCAAGTCCTGCATTGGGCTCTATGCTGGGTGTGAAGCCTACTTAAAAAAAAAATAGTCCCCCCACCCCCACCCCCACCCCCATACCTTGTTCTGGATAAATCCAGATATTGTTTTCTGCAGTCTACTCTTGGGCTGCTGATAGCTAGAGGAATATCTTATGAGAGGACATCTTGGTGCTATTACAAAGTCAGATTTTGGACAGATGGTAATTTTAATTCACTGCCAACCCAACACAGCTCCTACTCCTAAGCTACTCAGTTCCTGGGTCTGAGGTGGCTACCTCTGCTGGAGTCCTCATGAAAAAGCAAATTGGACTTTATCTCCAAAGGCCAAATGAACCCCCCCCCCCTTCACTCTTGCCTAAAAGGTAACAAAAATGTCCAAAGCAACAGTTGTCATAATAGCAAAAATTTAAAACCTCACATTAGTCATAAAATGCATTAGCCAACGGTGATATATTTATACCATGGAATACTATATAACACAGCAGTGATAAAAAAGGAACTAGGGCTCCATGTTTCCAAGTGAAAACAAGCAAGTAGCAGTGGTGTACCTGAATATGGTATAATGAATAAAAAGTTAAAAACTGTCAAACCACACTGTATATATAGATAATATAGACATATGTAGTAAAGCAAAGCATAGTAGTTACTTTTAAGAAGGGAAGAGCATGGGTGGGGACACATATATAGGGACTTCAATTTTAACTGTAATATCTTTTTGTGAGCTGAATGGCGGTAGAGGCACAATCATGATGACATTATACTTTTTTGCTTGTCTCAAATAATTAAGAGAAGAACGGGAGGTGAAGAGGAGGATGAGGAGGAAGAGGGGAACCAAAAGAAAGGAGACAGGAGAGGAAGAGGAAGAAGGAGAAGACAACTCAAGGGATCAGGAATGGGAACTTGCAGTCCAGTGAGTTCCAGGAGGTATGTGATTTTAGTCAAGAGGTTATCACCACAGGGACACCTGGCTGGCTCAGTCAGAAGAGCATGTGACTCTTGAGCTCTAGGTTGTGAGTTCGAGCCCTATGTTGGGTGTAGAACTTAAAAAAACTTAAAACTTAAGTTTTAAGTAAAACTTAAAAAAGAAAAAAGAGGTCACCACCACAGAGACTTAGTGCAAAAAGAGGGAACACTGAGAGGATGAATCTGAGGTCAGTGTGTGTGACTGCTAGGAAAATCAGATGATATAGAAAGGACAGAAAGGCACCCTTTCCAATGAAGCAGATCCATTAATTCATTTATTGAACATATATTTGTTAACTGTATGTACTCTGCACTGTTCCAGGGCACAGCAGTGGACAAAACCGCGAAAAAAATCTGCCTTCATGGACCCGAGGTGTCTGGAAGGCAGATTCTTTCTGTGTCCAACCTGTTTGTGTGTGAACGTCCCAGCAAGGCACCCAGGGAAAGAGAGGGGTTTATTCATTCTACAAATATGTACTGAACGCTTCACAGATGGCAGACTCTGTGGGATGCTGGGGATATGGAATGAATCCTTGCCTTCAAGGAGCTCATGATCTCCTGGGGAGAGCTCTATATCCACTGAGACATTTGCAGCTCCGTGTGTGGGAGGAATACCCAAGCTACCTTGGCAACAAAGTGGTGGGGAGTGTTGGGAGTTTGCTTCTGCTTGGAAATAGATTTGGTGATCTTGGAGGACCGTGACGGGAATTCAAAGCCCGGTTCAGGTCACTAGCATGAGTGAAAGATTCTGCCTGGGCAGCGGGTACCTAAGGTTCAGCTCTATGCTCTAGGGCACTGGGAAGAGTCTGTTCTCCAAAACCTGTCCCCTTACCCTTTTGTCTGCTCTCTCAGCACCGGTATGTCATTGTTAGAAATTCATTTCATTGCCTCAATACACTTTTGTTATTTTGCATAGCAAGCTATTGTATGAAAAGATATTTTACAAATAAATTCTTTATCATTTAATTTGTAACTGTATAATGTTTTGGCAAGAACTACATCCCCCAAATGTCTTGTTGACAAAAACATATAAATATCTGACATCCTGAGAGACATAATAGAATTCTACATATGGATGTAAGCTGTCTTTGTTATTGTTTTCTTCTTCATGCTTTTCCGAGTTGTGAAGAGGATTGTAGGGAAAAGAGCTGCAGATGAGGGAGCAGCTTCAGCTGGAAGGAGGTGGGAAATGGTGTCCCGCAGGTGGGGAGGGGGCACCAAGATACAGATGAGGAGACCTCTTCCATCAACATTGCTCTGGAACTCTATGGAATATTTTCCTCCTTCTCGAGTGATCATTATATTGACACAATGAAGCAAATAAGACACAAAAAACAAAAAACCAAAGACTCTGTATTCACCCAGTAATGGTGTTTTGTGCTTACTACTTGCCAGGCACTGTGCTGGGCACCAGGAGCATGGCCTGAAGCATCCATTAAAGACAGTAGGTTGTGACTGCTTAGAGTGTTTGTTCTACCCAGAGGGGTGAAATGATGGTTTGTGAAACCTAAGCCCAACTCACTGAGGGCATGTTACTAGAGGTTTGGCTTCCAAGATGATTTAAAATCATGTTTCCAAGTCCTGTCTTAAGAGGCACTTGAGCTTGTAAAGATTTTAGATGGGGGAAGCCACACATTAAAGCTGGAAAATTTTACTGCTTACTTTACTGGTCTCTCTCTCTTTTTAAACTTCTGGAAGCTGCATCCCCTAGGTCTGGGAGGAGAAGGAAATCCCTGGTTCACCCCTTTTCAATTCCCGCACGGGGTAGATTGCTTTTAAACTGTAGGGAAATAGCTTAAGAAGTTGCTGTCAGCATTTTGAACTCTTTTGGGTCAGTAACTGCAGTGCCCTGGGGAGAATTCAGGAATTCAGGGCTGCTGGGTCAGTCCATGCCAGGCTGGTACAGCCACCCTCTTTGTGGAGAGCTGTATGACTAGATTGAGACAAGTTCCTCTTTGCATATAGAGGTTTAGGGGAAGGTAGGTTGGGGTGGGCTAGAGGGAACATAAAGTAGTGAATGGGATTAGTGTCATTCAAAACATGTTTGAGGCCCTACTCTGTGCCAGCACTGTGCGAGGCTCCGAAGTGGAAAATAAGAGAGTTCTCACAGACAAGTGACTGAGAGCGATTAATGTATGGTACACGCTAAAAGTAGGCAAAATATGATACTATGGCAGTATGGATTGAGTGGAGGCAAGCATGTCCTGAGCTGAATTCTGAGAGAGTAGCCCTTAAACAGGGGAAGATTTGGGGAAAGGGCCGTCCACATTGAGAACAGCCTAGATGGACCAGGTAGGCTGGAGGCCTGTAAGTGGTTCAGAATGATTAGAAGGGAGGAGGGCAAGAGGTGAGGCTGCAGAGAAGGGCAGAGCCCAGATATTATGCCCCTCGCCTACCATGCTGAGAAGTCTAGACAGCCCCCTCAACACTCCACAGAGACATTGAGGAATCTTAAGTAAGACGGTGAGTATTTGAAAGGGGGTTGGGGGGCACATGGGCAGCTCAGTCGGTTAAGCGTTCCATTTTGGCTCAGATCATGATCTCACAGTTTGTGAGTTCAAGCCCCACATTGGGCTCTCTGCTGTTGGCGTGGAGCCCACTTCAGATCCTCTCTCCACCTCTCTTTCTGCCCCTCCCCCACTTGTGTTTTTCTCTCTCTCTCAAAAAGATATAAACATTTCTTTATATTGTTTCTTCAATCTTTGTATTTTTTCTTATGAAATTGAAAAATTCTCTGGGGCGCCTGGGTGGCTCAGTCGGTTGGGCGTCCGACTTCGGCTCAGGTCATGATCTCGCGGTCCGTGAGTTCAAGCCCCGTGTCGGGCTCTGTGCTGACAGCTCAGAGCCTGGAGCCTGTTTCAGATTCTGTGTCTCCCTCTCTCTCTGACCTTCCCGCATTCATGCTCTGTCTCTCTCTGTCTCAAAAATGAATAAACGTTAAAAAGAGAAAAAAAAGAAAAAAAAGAAAAATTCTCACTGAAGAAAATTTGGAGGTTATAGAAGGGCATAAAGTGAAAACGTAAAATCAACCTTTAACTCCACCACACAGATAACCCTGGCCAATATATTGGTATATCTGGTATATAACTTTTTACATGTTTGTGACCATTTTATGTATAAGACTATATTTTGCTTTTTTCCACTAACATCATCTTCTAGACATTTCCCTACTCTATATTCTTTTTGTTAACAAATATTAAAATTTGCAATTATTTTAGATTTACAGAAGAGTTCCAAAGACAGTGCAAGAAATAGTTCCTGGGTGTCTGCGACCTAGCTTTCCCTCATGTTAACAATTTACTTTCTCTGTCTCATCTCTGTCAGAATATACTTGCTTCTATCCTATTTCCACTAACTAACCTGGAAAACTGACCTGTAGTGTTCTGAGTCAGTGGACATTCCCAGCCTGAAGCAGGGGGCTACTGAGTTACAGTGCATTGACCTGGAGAAGTGGGAATTCTGGGTCAAAGAAAGCAGAGAATCTTGAGTCAGGATGTGCTCCTGGGCAGATGGGACTCTCAGGACCTTACGGCTTAACTTACCTATGGCAGCAGCTTTGGGCACTACTTCCAGAGGAGTCCTCACTCCCTAAGATAGTTACAAGTGGTTGGCAGGCGCTTCTCCTTATGTTCTAAAAGACTATTAAAGCTGAGTTGCTGCGTGATCTAGACCAGTTTAAACCCCGAGTCTGATCCAACATTTACTGGCATTGCTCAAAGCCAATACTGAATGGTTTGTGCTCGGTTCTAAAGTACTCAGTTAAGTCCCTTGGTCCTCATAGATCATCTGAGGGAAACATCAAGTACTGGCAAAAACCACCACTAATGATAGGAGAAACTACCCCAAGCCTCATTCCTAGACCCTCTGCTTGTTCCTTTTCATTATCGGAAGTGCTTTCTTCCTTTAAAAAGCACTCTTGAGGGGTGCCTGGGTGGCTCAGTCAGTTATGCGTCAGACTTCAGCTAAGGTTATGATCTCGTAGTGGGTGAGTTTGAGCCCCGTGTTGGGCTCTCTGCTATCAGTGCAGAGCCTTGTTTGGATCCTCTGTCTCCCTCTCTCTCTCCCCCTTCCTCCTCAAAAATAAACATTAAAAAAATCACACTTGATACTTATTTGTCCTATCTTAGGACCATCTTCAGGTTATGCCATTCGTGTGTGTGTGCGTGTGTGTGTGTGCATGTGATCTGTGTGTTTCTCGTTTTCTGCACATTTTTGAGAGTAAGACAGTATCTTCTTCAGTTTTGCAGACTGCACAGTGCTCACCATGCTATCTTGCTATTACATGGTAAATACATTTTTTTTTCATTTAAACATTATTTCTATACTCTTTCCCTCAGAGAAGTCATAGAGTCTTTCAGTTTTGTCTGCTTTTAGTATGCACATTTTGGTGCTTATCTCCAACTGTTTCCTACATAGTTCTACTCCAATAATCTAATTTCATTGCAAATTACAAAAGGCTAAAATTAAAATGCCCACTCCCCTCCGCACCCAGCCAGTCTCTTCCTGTGATGAGCTGAAATGTGTCCCTCCAAAATTCAAATATTGAAGTCCTAACTCCCAGTGACTCAGAATGAGACTGTATTTGGAAATACGGTCTTTAAAGAAGTGATTAAGGTAAAATGAGGTCAATGGGTGGGCCATAATCTCCTTTGCTCGTTGTCCTTATAAGAAGAGAAGATTGGGATGTGGACAGGGACAGAGGGAAGACTGTATGAAGACATAGGGAGAAGGTGGTCATCCACAAGCCAAGGTGAGGCCTCAGAAGAAACCAACGCAGGCAACACCTTGATTTTGGACTATTTGCCTGCAGAACTGTGAGGATATAGATTTCTGTTGTTTATGCCCCCAGCCTGAGTCTGTGGTACTATGTTATGGCATCCCAAGTAACCTAATAGACTTTTTTTTTTTTACTAATACATTTTCTTTCTTTTTTTTTTTTTTTTAATTTTTTTTTCAACGTTTATTTTTGGGACAGAGAGAGACAGATCATGAACAGGGGAGGGGCAGAGAGAGAGAGAGGAAGACACAGAATCGGAAACAGGCTCCAGGCTCTGAGCCATCAGCCCAGAGCCCGACGCGGGGCTCGAACTCACGGACCGCGAGATCGTGACCTGGCTGAAGTCGGACGCTTAACCGACTGCGCCACCCAGGCGCCCCTACATTTTCTTTATCTGAAGTATAAACTGGCTTTCCCAATGTTCCTCCATATTTCTGCACTTACCAGAATTCTCTCAGGCATATATATTTGGAAGTCTCTTTTCTAATACTCTCAACCCATTTTATCATCACTAAATATTTGTTTTGCTTGCTTTCTTTCCCTTTACTGGCAGTGCTGTTATTCTAGTCCACTCATTGTTGATTCTTTTTGTTTTGTTCTATTTTGTTTTTAAGTAGGCTTTATGCCCAATGTGGGGCTTGAACTCATGACTCTGTGATTAAGAGTTGCATGCTCTTCTGAGTGGGCCAGCCAGGGGCCCCAAAGGTGATTCTTATTGAATAGTCTCAGCACATTTTTCTTTATATACAGATTTCAGTATCAGATTTTTCTTTTATGATATGGTCCTATATGTACTCTGAGTACCACTCATACTGAATGATTGACAATTTGACCATGTCTTTTTATTGTTACCTCTGTTGGAAATGCCCCTTCTCTTCTCCAAGGCCTAGTAATTTGTGGATCTAGACATAAAACTATATGCCTTCTTTTCTTTTTTTATTTTAAAGTTTATTTATTTTTTCTAGTAATCTCTACACCGAACATGGGGCTTGAACTCACAACCCTGATATCAAGAGTCACACGCTCTACTGACTGAGCCATCCAGGCATCCCCAGACAACAAATCATGGGGTTGCCTTCCCTATGAATGGCCCTGCTTAAGAAGAACCATGGAATTTGTTTCATGAAGATAAGAGGGGCAAGGGGCAAACTTTCTCTGAAGGAAGATGTCTGAAGATGAAGAGAGTTGATTCCAAAAGCAGAAAGTTCTATTTAGGAGAATATGTCAGCTAATGGCCATTGAGAAGCCTGCGGGTAAATTTATTTTCCTTAAATGTTCAGAGGTCAGATAAGATAAACCAGCTGCACTTCACTGCAAGCAATATTGCCAAGTTTAGTCTTCGACTTTAACTTTTGGCAGATATGTTTGGACGCTGTACAGCTCGAAAAGCTACTAATCAGATGGTTTAAGTGTGTGTTGTTAAAAGTCAAAGATGAGTCTATATTCTGATTTTAAATAGTTTTTGTCTGTTTTTCATTGCCCATGTAATATATGCACACAGTTTTGGTGTGCCTAGCTGAAATGGTACCACATATAGAGAGTAAAAATAAGTTCCTCTGTCCATCACCACTCATCCACTCAATCTCCATCTTCCATAAGTAAACAGCACAAAACAAAGATTGAGTACAAATAAGTTATCATTATTTTTTTTTTCAACGTTTATTTTTTTTGGGACAGAGAGAGACAGAGCATGAACGGGGGAGGGGCAGAGAGAGAGGGAGACACAGAATCGGAAACAGGCTCCAGGCTCTGAGCCATCAGCCCAGAGCCCGACGCGGGGCTCGAACTCACGGACCGCGAGATCGCGACCTGGCTGAAGTCGGACGCTTAACCGATTGCGCCACCCAGGCGCCCCAAGTTATCATTATTAAAACATTGCAGACT